CGGCTCCGGCGGCCGCGCGCCGAGGCGTCCTCCGGTGGGCGGGACCGCAGGGCAGGCGCCCGGGCTTAAAGGCACCGCGCCTCCGCCGCCCCTCCCCACGGGGTGCACGGGCGCGCTCGCTGCCCCGTGCGCCGGGAGACCCGCGCCCGGGCCTTCCCCCGGCCTCCGCGGTCTCGCCTAGCGCGGAACTGGCTATAAGCCACCCAGGGGACTCGACCAAGATGCCCTTCCTGCTTTCTCTGTCCGCACTCCCGCTCTTCCCTGCCTTTCAGGAAGGGCTGCCCTGGGGGCGTCCTACGCCTGGCACTTCCACCCAACATTCACAGAAGCAGTTTCCCAGGGGGTGGGGCGGACGGGTGGTCAAGCTGAGCTAACCTCCCCTCCTCCCGCTTGTCATCCCCATTCATTCTTTCATCGAGTTCATTCAACATGGAAATTGAACGCCTACTACGTGCCAGGCACTGTGCTAGCTGGTCAACGTTTCGGCCAACTGAGTTGTCTTCCCTGACGGTCACAGGCTCTGAGACCTGAGGTGGAGGGTCTCACCCCAGCAGGCCTGGTGGAAAATTGGCACCTAGACAACTAGCGGGGTAGAACGGCTCAGGGTCGCGCCACCCACCACGGGCAAGGGTGGAGAAATCCTGGAAAGGACCTGACCTACGAAGGGAGCGCGATCCCTTTAAGAAAGCTGTATAAGAGGGGTAGTGACAGGCGCTGAGTGAAGCGCCACGTGACTTTTCTACCGGGGCGGGTGGGAGAGGAGAGCTCCATTATAATCTGCTTTCCTTCTCCTACCTCCCTCCCAGCGCACCAATCAACTTTCGCGGTAGGCGGGCACGCTCCAGCCAGATGGCCAATCGCCAGCGAAAGAGGTGGGGGGAGGGAGGCGGGGCCCGCCTCCAGTTCCACCCAGCGCGGGAAGAGGGCGGGGTCTCCGCGAGCTCGTGTAGACTCGCAGACGGGCGGGGCGGAGGAGGTGAATGGATCTGCAGGTAGCGATAGAACAAAGCGGCTCGACTTGGCCGGCGCGCGTGCGCAGGACCTGCCAAGCTTTCCCTACGGAGCCAGGGTGGTCTGCCCCGGGAGGGAACTCGCTTCTGGGCGCTGCAGTTCACCTGGTCCGTTCCGTGCCGGGCGGGGAGCCCCCACGTCCTTGGGGCTTAACCCCCTATTCTGCCCGCGGCTGGTCAGCTCTAAGCTACCGTGCCCCCACCCCCGATTGAGAGGGATGGTGCTTGAGATTTGCCCAGGGGAGGGTTTCTGGAATCCCTAGGATTTGAGCTTTCCGCTGACCTCTGACCAGAAGGCATGAAAAGGAGAGGCCCAGAAGCAGTCCCCGTCCCCCCTCCCGTCTTCCAAGGGAGGGATGGTCTACCTGAGGAGTTTCATCAGGTGCTGCAGGGCTGTGTCCCAGCAAGGATCTCTCCCACAGTCATACTCCCAGAAATGTCACAGCAGTGCAGCCAGAGATGGTCTTCATGGGGATTGGGTGCCAAAAGGTGAAAGGAGGCCCAGAGTTGTCCTGGATTGCTGGGCAGAGCCTGCTTTCCTCGAATTCTAGGCCCTGTGGAAAGAGCTTCCAGGACCTGAGAGACTCAGACCGAGATTCTGTCCTGCCACTTTGCTGACTTGTGTGACCCGAGTATGGTCCTTACTGCTCGGTCTCAGTTTTCCAAATGTAGGAGAGTGTTGGTCTAGACAATTCCCAGCCAGTCTGTGAATCTGTCCAGCTGGGAGAACACGTTCTGAGGCCGGGCCCCTTGGCTGGCAGTCTGGGTGGTGGTTGTCAGGGATGGAGGTAGCACTCAGAAAAGAGGCCTGAGCAAACCCGCAGGGGAGGGCCACCTGCTGACCAGTGAATCATTCACTCAGCAGGCCTTGTTGAGGGCCTCCTTGTTGAGCACCAGGCACTGCCTGGAGCTGGAGTGACAAGAGACCCTGCATCTTCCACTCAGCAGCACAGATAGCCTGGCTGACTCTCCCCTGCTCCACCAGGGCTAGTTAAATGCCAGTCGGGGTGCACCCCCAGACCGATGACAGGATGAACAGAGACTCTTCTTTCTCTAGGGGAAAGACTGGGCTTGGTGCCCCCACTCCAGACAGGAAGGACCATGCTCTGCTAACATGGTAGTTCAAGATGTCAAATGCCCAGTAAGCCAGGGTGACATCTCCTGAGAGGCAGAACAGAGTCAAGTTAACAGGAGGTTCATGCTGTCCTCACATGAGACTGGGCTATATGCCCCACTGCGCTGAGGCATGCTTGAAGGGCGTGACTGAAATGGGAACCTCTTCTGTGTCCCCACAGCCTCCTTCCCTTATTCATGAGGGAGAACCACCCTAGAGAGAAGAAAAGGGGCCCTGCCATCCTTCACATTAGCTTGTGATGACTCGCTTGTTTCTCTCCCCTCTAGACCTCTAGACTCCTTTAGGGGGTGTACACCCTGGAGGAGAGATCTGTGAGGATGTGTAGAATTGGAAAAGCTCCCCCAGGGTGGAGGGAGAGGCATCCTTCAGCAGGGATGAGTTTGGGTGAATACAGGAGCAGGGAGAGCATGTGAGGAGAGGTAACAGTGGAAATGAAGGGATGGCAGAATTAGCCTGGCTGTGTGGGCCCCTGTCTCCCAGGTTGGAGGAAAGGCCCAAAGCCACAGTTCCTGAGTGAAAGCTCTGCCTCCAGTCTTCAGCAGCTTCTGTGGAGCAACACAATGCATAAAATGGATCACAGCAGAGCTGCCCTGTGCGGGGGTTGGGGGGGGATGAGGAGAGGGCTGAGGAACCCTGTGGCTTGCCTGTGGTTGAACAGCAAGAGGCCAGAACTGCCCCTGCCCAGGGCCTTGCCCTGCAGCTCTAAGCATCCCACAAGGATGCTGGGAGAGGGTATCTGGGAGAGCAATTTCTTGGTGGGAACTCGGAGGGTGCCCTGGGCAGGGAATTGGAATCAGACATTCTTCCTTTTCAGGAATGTGGCCTTTCCTGCCCTTCTGGGTTCAGGCCCTCCCTCACCTGCAGCCCCCAGGAGAGGTGCCCTATTCACTAGCGTCTCTCTAAGGTGCAGGATGGGGGAGTGGGAAAGAGGCCCCCAGAGGTGAGCCATTCTGGGGAGGGGAAGTACAGATGGGAAATGTTTGAGCTTCCTGAGGGCTGCACCTCACTCCCACATGCCTCCAGGCTTTGCACAAGCTACTCCTTCAGCCTGGACATTTTTTTCCTTCAGCCTTTGCCTGTCCCCTGTCCCCCACCCCATCTTTGCGCTGCACTCTATCACAGTCGCCATTCAACAACCGCCACCAGACTTTTCACTTTGGATGGCCAATGGCCTATCTGCCCTCCCATCTCATAACTGTGCACCCAGGTGCCAGGCTGAACCCACAAGGCACATTTAGAGCTGCCTTCCCTGTCTGCACACATCCAACCCCAGACCCACACAGAGATGGGGCCCTCCTGGTAGTGCAAGTCCTGGCCATGATGATGGGATGTTTTCTGGTTCTTTGCTCTTCCTCTGAGAGGAGCTGAGCATCCCCAAGAGCAGCTGTGAAATGGTGGGCATGCGCACACACACACACATCCACGTGGCTCAGTGACCCAGGATCTGTGTCACCAAGAACAGTTTAAGCATCTTGAAAACAAACTTTCCTTTTCCCATTGGTGCCCATGGCTGTCTTAGAGATGGGCCACCATGTTTCAAATGGCATATGCTAGAGGTGGGGGAGGGTAAGTTCCTTGCCCTCCTGGTACTGAGGAGGCTAGCACAAATTCAGGGGGAGCTCTTGCTTGCTACCAGGAGGGCAGCTTTCTAACATGGGTCTATCTCACTTCCTGCTATGAAAGATGAGCAGGGCCCAGGCAGGGGCTGCGCCCTCCAGTCCACGTTGCCTGCTGCTGTGACCAAGCCAGCCTCTACTCAAGGCAGCTCCACCAGGCAGAGGGAGGTGCGCTTCCGAGGCCTGTGAAGACATAAACTCACTCTGCTTGCCCTTGGACCTTGGGACAGCTTCTCTCCCAACCATTGGTGGCATGTACACTGAGGTTGGTGTCCAGATGGGTAATGTCTAAGCCAGGTCGGAAGTGGACTGTGAAAAGGCTTGCAACTCTCCTGCCCTGTCTAGTACTCCTGTCTGTGTACACACACACACACACACACACACACACGCACGCACGCACGCACGCACGCACATGTAAGGCCACACACAACAGAGCAACAGAGGCACAGACACACATAGACTTACCTATATATTCACATATGCTATGGGCACACAAGTACATGTGCAGAAATACACAGAGCAGACCTATGCACATGTGCAGAAATACACAATACATGTGTGCACACATACAGTACTCATACATACACACATACGCACA